TACCTCAATATTTCGCGATTTATTAATGATTTTTATTATTATTTCATAAACATAATTCACCCTTACCTAGCGCTGTGGTTTGTCTACTTGTAAGCTCTCTTTGAACTGTAAAATACAATTAAAAGTACCTTAATGAATAAAAGTCCAAAACATCGTGGAATAAACAAAGGTTAAAGCCATCCTTGATTCACCTTACCAACATGTAATAAATATTCATTTTTAGTATTTTTTTCAAAGTTCAATCACGATCTCTTGGATACGAGCTCTCTTAACTAGTATACAGCATGATAAAATACGAAAATATACGCTATAAAAGTTTTCCGGSGCACATGTCGAATATTTGCTTTTTTCCTTTGACTCATGAAAGTAAATGAAGAAAGGCAAAACACATGAGCAATAATTAAAAGTAACCTTTCTGTTGTCCAATTTCGCYAATTTTTTTCATAGCGCTTCAATTGATTTTTTTGCTTGAATTCCGCGCCTGCTCAGGAGGAAAGTTTGTTTAAAATTTCGGCGCTTTATGGGTTCGGAATTTGTTCGTTAAACATCATATTTCAGTTATCCAACAGTTGATACTCAAGCTCTGTATGATTTGGTGCGATTTATTAGCATTRYRTCCTTTCTWAAGAAAAGTCGAAAACCACACAAAATGGGATTTTTTGGCAATAATCAAGAGTTTTTGGTTTTTTTCTTTTCATTTTTTTTTCGCTCTAAAATTAGAAACTGTCATGATTCCAAAACGCTTCTGGAACTTTCATTTCCATGTAATGCAAAATCCTACGTACTACATGGATGTTGGACAAGAATAAAAACGCTAAAAAAAACAAGCGCTTTTAAGTGAAAAGTGATCAGCGTGGAGGGCGCAAAATGTGAACAGCAAGAAACGAATATCGTCGAACTTCGTACCTTGGTATCCTTGACCAATAAGACAAAGTATGACATATTCCTTGTAATCAGGAACGAAGAACGWTAGAAGTTTATGGACGGCGTATAGCMAAAGCGCTATTTGCCACATTTTCTTAAGACGTGTTTTTCACTAGACAGTCATTTATCTAATTTTCACTTCTAATGAAATCGAACGTTAATCAACTCATT